CTTCGGCTTCTCGTTAAGTTTTAGCTCTGGACTTTGACTAGACCAGAGGTCGGCAACCTGCGATTTCAAAGCTGCGAGTGGCTCTTTGGACCTTCCACAATAGCTCTTTATAACTTTGGTAAAAAATTATATAAATTTACATGTAATAAGAAATGCTGGTTTTAATTAAGTATTTAATTAAAACCAGCATGTGCCAAAATGACAACTATATTGCCTGGTGGAGGAAGAGTAGCTTATTTGACTTTGTATAAAGTTGTTTCATGTGTTTTTCTCTTTTTTTCTGTTTTAAATGTTTGTATAAATACAGTGTTAGGATGAAACAGTGGTATTTTTACTCTAAGCTATCCAAAAGCATCTCATACTGGCCAGTACTTAATTTAGTTCTTATTCTGGTAGCCAAACAAGTTTAGTGTTTTTTTTTTTTTTTTTTTGGTTGTTTTTTTAGCCTTTTTTTTTTCGCCCCCACATATTGCACAACATCCTTTAGTCTTGCAGAGCCACACCCTGGCCTCACAGCCCTGTGAGACCTTTTGTTAAATGTAAGATAAGATTTCTCATAAGTGACAGGTTTAATGCCTTCCTCAGTAATAACTGTTGAGTTAATCTACAAGTTAGAGAGAAGAAAATAGAGTAATCTTACCATATCTGCATATTTGTCCCCACCTTATTTCTTTTCCCTGCAAGACGAGCAGCAATAACATAGACATGCACAAGTCAGTTTTGTGGCACATTTTCAATCTGTTATAAAGCTTGTAGTACTCCTAACCCTACCAAGGTTTTTCTATTCAGATTTCTGCTTAAAATTTGTAATCAAGATGGCTCAAAATAGTTTCTGCTTTCCTGCAATGAATGATTATTATTCATTTTGTGAGCAGCGAGGACATGGTTGCTGTCAAACAGTTGTACCATTTTAAAATGGCAATGATGGCAGAGCTAACATTTGAAATGATCTAATTAGCTATTAATTGGCATGTTTAGGGGTGCACAATAATTACCGCGCCAATGGGATTTTTGAGTTTTCAAAGCTCACGTTGACCCAGTGTGTTTGAAAATAAACCAGCTAGAGTCCATTTCTGGTAAAATTGTAATTATTTGACCCCATTTCCAACTTGTAAGCAAGACATTTGGTGTTTTCAGGTTTTATAGTAAAAGTAATTTGAAATATTTATGTATTTAGTCTTATAGAGGCCTTTTTTAAGCTTTATTATATGGTTGTTTTCTTTTTGTTTAGTTTTTTCCCAACGCTTTTGTAACATTTCATTTTCGAATGATTGTGTTGAATGTGAAATAGTTGAGTTCAACTTTTTCATTGATAAATGTTTGAACTTACAGCTTGTGCGGATTGCAAAAGTACTTGGCACGGAGGATTTGTATGACTACATTGACAAGTACAACATTGAATTGGATCCACGGTTCAATGACATTCTGGGAAGGTGAGTCATTGCGTCAACTGTTTTGCCTTTTAACGGTTTGACGGATATTTTGGCCTCAACTTGACCAGCTAATTTGTCTCCCTTTCTTCTCGTTTATCTGTAGACATTCCCGTAAAAGATGGGAGAGGTTTGTGCACAGTGAAAACCAACACCTAGTCAGCACAGAGGCTCTAGACTTCTTGGACAAATTGCTGCGCTACGACCATCAAGCTCGCCTCACAGCCAGAGAGGCCATGGATCATCCCTACTTCTGTATGATTGCTTCTTCCTTTGTTTCTTTTTTTTTTTTGTTAACTTTGTGGAGTCTATGTGCAGTCCTTTATACCCATCCTATTTGCTTCCTCCTTTTTGTCCTTTAAATGTTTTGTTCTTTCTTCCTTTATTTCTAGCCTCTAATAGTATTTCTTCTGTTTTTAATTTTGTTCTGCTATCCTTGTTTTTAATTTTCTCTTTAAGGTGACATGACCTTTACCACGTTTACCTCTATGCATCTTTCCCTTTTCACAAGTCTTCCTTTCTTCACTGGAGTGCCTCCACCCCTCTCTATTTGCATCTCCTTTTATGTTTTTCCCCATGTGACCTTGTGTCCTTCCTCTCCTTCTGCTCTTTCTTGAACTCCTCTTTCCTTCCTTATGACCTTACTTCATGCTTTGCATCTTGCCTATACTTTCTTCCTTGCGCCCTTCTTTTCTATCTGTTTCTAGTATTTAAAGGTGTGATATGAAGCCAATTTTATAGAGGTTATTTGCATTTCTGCATAAATGTGGATGAAATGGTCAGGAATACAATTAAATTTTTATACAAACATTTGAGAATGCTGGCAAGATGTTTTCTAATCCATCTGGCGTATTATATTCTCAGATCCCATCGTCAAAGATCAGGGACGGGGGGCCACTCCTGGGGGCATGGCTGCCAGCTCCACTCCAGTCAGCTCCTCGAGTATGATGGCTGGTGAGTCACCTCGGACCAGTTGCTGCACCGCACTTTTTTTTTTTAATCAAAATTGTTCTGGTGTCAAAGACATTTCCTTGAAAGGCTGCTGAACAATTTGAGTCACTTTTTTATTTATTTATTTTTCTAAATGGTGTGAACGAGACGAGCCTTCGCTAATGAGTAATGACCCTATTTTTGCTTTCAGGCATCACCTCCATGTCCTCCTCACAGCCGCTGGCCAACATTGCTGGATCGCCCGTCATTTCTGCCCCAAACACTCTGGCCACACAAGTCCCTGCAGCCACTGGGACCCAGCCCTGAAACCACTTCCTCACCTGTGTTAAACGTGTGGTCATGGCCATGCCCTGCCTAGCTCTCTCTGTGAGCCAGGGCCATGGAACCCCCCCCTCCCCCCTCTTTTTATGTTGACAATAACAAAGAAGATTTAAATTACTTTTCATGTTCAGTTCTATTTTGACACCTGGACTTGACAGAACCGCATTGTTGCACCTGTCGGGTTTGTTAGATATTAATTTGGGTGTGTTACTTGACAATGCCATTGTCTAGAAATTCTAATAAGATGTAGACATAAAGAGAATGGATAATAAAATTTATTTTGTATGTTCCAAATATACAGTCTTGCTTGAAACTGTTTGATGGGGATCCTGCTGTATTACACTGTGAAACCTTTACGTGACTTCACACAAACGGGGAGTCGGGGAAATCTGGTATGTCCCACCTATCAGTGCTCGCCGGGTGCACACGATGTAATGTGCAGGAGTTGTTAGTGTTTTGAAGTTGTTAGATGCTTATCATTCTTTAATTGGACATTTTTGTAGATATTCTACAGTTACTGTCAGGTTGCATGCACCCAATGCTGAGTTTCACAGGGTCAATAGTTTGCCAACTTTATGTTACTTTCACTTCTGTACGTGTATGTAAGTGTCCCATGTTTGTTTTTTATGAAGTCTCTTACACATGATTTTGATTACATAGACAATTTTGTAACTTTTTTGTTTTATGTTGGGCGGAGTCATCACCTACGGAAAAACAACTTCAAAAATAAACAATTTAAACAGGGCTTTACAGGCACTACGTTATTGACTGTACCATCCCATAAATGGTGTGCGTCAACTATGAGTAGATGTGTGCGGCAGGAAGATAATTTTAGTTTAAAATGAACTTTGTTTTACATATTTTACAAATTTCACCTCAATAGAATCAAACAATATCACTCAGTCTCAGTAGTTAAGTTTGAAAGTGAAACTCATGGATTTGTTACACACGCAAAGGTGTATATATAAAAGTTTTCATGTGAAATTCTAAATTTGATTTGAGAACTCGAGTTTTATTAGACCAGTAAAAATGAGTCAAATACAGAATAACTGCCTGCAGACAGGCATGTCTTTGTTCTGTGTAGATTATGCACTTAACTGGGCATTGGCATGCAGGGAGTCAGCCGTTGGTCCTGTGGAGGTAGTTTAAGAATCCCAGGTTGGTTTAGTTTTTTGTTTTTTTTTTGGTCTGTTGTCTCATGTTTCTGACAATACTGCAGAGATTCTGTGCTGGCCTATAAAGCACAGCAATAGCATGGTTATTAAAACAGGTTTTTGGTACTTTTTACAGTATAAGCTGGTGCTTAGAAAGTAAAACCAATGAAGCTTGTCAGCTGGGGTGAGGTAGTATTAATTAGGGGCGGCATATTTTGGAAGAAATGTTAAGACAATTCTAAGGGCCCCTGACCAACAGGGGGCCCTCCACAATTTATTTAGTTTTTGTTTGTAGAAATAAAAAAAAATTGGGCTCTGTCAATTACAAAATTATATTGTATTTTCAAAGATTGAGTTTGTTTTTAGCAGTAAAAATGTTATGTTCCCACTCCCAGACCAAAAAGCACATATCCATATTTGCCCTGTACCCCATCACCAGCAGACATGGGGCCCCAATCATCACCCTGGACTTATTGAATGGACTCTCAGTACTGCTCCTGAGACATCAATTTTAAAATTAAAAGCAAGTGTAATTTCTCTGAAAAGAGGGCTTTGGAGTACTTGAGCAACAGTCCTGTTGCTTTTCTCCTCAATTAGCCAAGGTAAAACATGGTCTTGGTGCTGGCTCAAGAGTTGCCCAACGTAATGGATGGGACAGTTGTTCCCATGTCCTCCAGGTGTCCTTAAAGTGCCTGAACAAGCTACAGGTCATTCCTTGTAACTTCTGCAAACACTGAAATGGGCTTTCCTATACAATTCTTTTAGAGTTATGATTATCCCTGTTGCACCCATTCTGCTGCACCTTTTTTTTTTCCACTGAACTTTCCAATGATGTTGCATTCTTTGTAAACAGCTTTCCTGTTGACGATTTCAGTGACAAAATAATGTCTACCAGGATTTTTTCCAGCAGGGTCAAAATCCTGGGTCAAAATCTCCAACAGGATTTTGACCCTAAGTCAGGTGTTGAACTCCATTGACAGCCTTAGCATCTGTTGGACAACTTCAGAAACACCGGAACACGTTTTGACTGATCAATCAATACAAACCTCCTTGTCTTTACCAAGAAGAACCAGTTGTCATTTGTCCTACATCATTGAAAGCAGCATTGACCCCGCCCGTTGTTATTCGTCTCACGTGGCCGAGTCTATAAAGATTAAAACTCTGTGTGAAAAGTTCGCAGTCGCGCTGCAAAAATGGGAAAAATCGCGATCATTTCGGTTGCAATAGCAGCTCTTTCGGTGCTGCTCGGAGAGCGGCTCCTCAATATTAGGTAGGGTGGAAGTCAGCTGGCTTCACTGCTTTGCTTGTCTTTATTCAAACTGTTTGCTACGTTCAGTGTAACTTTGTGCTTTAATTCGACAGCAAAAGGCACCTCATTTTCAGGGAGATGGGCAACAAACATCTGCCCAACTGCGTCGCGCTCAAAAACATAGGCAAGCGATGAAACAACCAAATAATGCAGCCAAAACATTGTTTTGAAAATATTAAAAGTGGTTCATTATTTCCCCCCTGCAGAACATGGCTCGGAGGATATAACTGTTGTTGGAGATGGCCTTGCCTTTATCAGCGCTGTGGGTATTTATTTTGTAACTCAGCCAAGTCTTCGCCCATGTATAATAAAGCAAACATGGGCAGCAAACTCAAACACAGGGCCATATTTCATTTTAAATCTGTTGACATTTATTATTGTCGGATTTATAAATGATAATCAGAATTTATTGCTTTATTATTTTATGATTCAATTATTTCTTTTTAAATATTTACAGGGACTCAAATTTCTTGGATTTCCATCCTCGGATGAGCCTGGAAAAATCTACACCCTTGATCTCAAAGATCCTAATCTGAAACCGGTGGAGCTGCGTATGCCAAGGAACTTTGATTTAGAGTCCTTCAACCCACATGGCATCAGTGTATACACAGATCCAAGTGGTAAGATGCTTCTTTTGGTTTATGGAATTGAGGACAGACAGCTAGTGTTAAGCTTCCTCTTGTATATGCCAGGCTGTGGTATTAAAGTATAGAGCTGAACAATATTAGGAAACATGCAATGATATCGGAGAGGTTGTAATAACCCATCACCTCTGATAAGTGATGGGTTATTAACATGGCCAAACATGGTGTTGGGCTTGTTTCCAGGTATTGGATTAACAGCCACATTCAGATCAGATCTTCTCTCTTCGCAGTGGAGGATGGTTGTTTACATTGCAGGCAATTTCTAGTAAGCTCCACGGTGTCAAACTGGCACAAAACTTACGCCACGGGGAAACATTAGCAGTTGGGTAAAATCGCTTTCGTGACGCAATCGTCTCTCAGCAGTCGAGAGTCTAGACCCTCAGTATGAAGCACAGTGTTGTGCAAGGGGCTGGATTTTACCAGACTAGTACAAAATCTGCTGATCTTTCCTATGTAATAGTTTGAGGCTACGTATAAAAATCAAAATAACATTAAATTCATATCACCTGATGGGCACTTTTTATTTTCAAGTTTTCTTGTATCATTTTTCTCACCTTTTTTTTTTCTTTGTCAGATGATACGGTCTACTTGTTCGTTGTTAATCATCCGCACTTTGAAAGCCAAATTGAGATCTTCAAATATGTGGCAGATGGTTCCTCCCTAGTGCATCTTAAAACCATAAAGCACGAACTACTGCACAGGTGAACACTCTTTTATTTTCTGAAATATACTACAATGTGTAATCGGTCTTAAAAATGATCCTGCTTTTTATTTGAGATTATTTTTGATCTTTGCAGTGTGAATGATATTGTTGCAGTAGGGGTAGAGAGTTTTTATGCCACCAACGATCACTACTTCTCTAACGAACTCCTGAAAACATTGGAGATTGTTTTGCTGATGCCTTGGACCAACGTAGTGTTCTACAGTCCTAAGGAAGTGAAGATGGTCTCTGATGGCTATCACTTTGCTAATGGCATCAATATGTCTCCAGACCAAAGGTGAATATTCTTACCAGGGGTATGCAACATGGTGGCTGTTTGCTTTTGTTTGTGTGTGTATTGCTTCATGGTTGTAAAAATTCCTCTTCCTTATAGGTACATATATGTGGCGAACATATTAAACCACAGTGTGAATGTATTGGAGAAGAAAAAAGACAACACACTGACACCAATAAAGGTAGAAATACTCAGGCATGCGACCTTGGTGTGCTTCTTTGCTGTGCTTTTTAAATCGAAGTTAATTTATTACTTTTTCATCAGATTTTATAATGGCATTTTTTATATAAATATTCAGCAGTATTTGATCAACTGGATGGAAAATTTCAGTAAACATTTTTGTAGCGGCCTAATAAAAATGTTGGCAACTTGCGTTCTAAAAAAATGTTTTTTTTTTGTCTCTATTACAAATATTTTTTTAAGGACAAAAGTCATGGAAATTTTTAGAATTACAAAGGTCAAAAAAACAAACTGTATTGCCCAACTATGGGTGTGGCGCATGCTTATTCTCAAGAGGTTACTTTTTTTTCACTGTTTTCTTTGGACGCATACTAATTATTGTTTCCTCACCAGTCTGTGCCTTTGGGTTCACTTTGTGACAACATCGAAGTGGATCCTGAAACCGGCGACCTTTGGCTGGGCTGTCACATTAATGGAAAGAAGCTTTTTCTGTTTGATCCCAAGGATCCTCCAGGCTCAGAGGTTTGTGTTAACAGAGGAACATAAAAAACATTAACCTTCTGCTAAGATGCAATATACGTGGTGGTGTTGACTATTTATCACTCCTGATTGTGCTTGGTACATTTTATTTGTCCTTGTAGGTCATCCGCATCCAGAACATTCTCTCAGATGAACCCGTGGTGACCCAGGTGTATACAGATGATGGCAATGTGCTCATTGGCTCTTCGGTGGCAACTGTTTACGGGGGGAAGCTGCTCATAGGGACCGTGTTTCATAAAGCATTGTGTTGTGATTTAAAATAGACAACAGTCACACTTCAAAACATTTACATATTAGTCAATGGTTCCATGAGGACAGTGGTGTGTTTATGACAGTAAAGAGATTAAATAAGGAAGTTTAGTCAATAACATGGAAATCGGGATATACAGTTAGGGCCAGAAATATTTGGACAGTAACACAATTTTCGTGAGTTGGGCTCTGCATGCCACCGCATTGGATTTGAAATGAAACCTCTACAACAGAATTCAAGTGCAGATTGTAACGTTTAATTTAAAGGGTTGAACAAAAATATGTGATAGAAAATGTAGGAATTGTACACATTTGTTTACAAACACTCCACATTTTAGGAGCTCAAAAGTAATTGGACATATAAACATAACCCAAACAAAAAAGTTTTTTCTCAATATTTTGTTGCGAATCCTTTGGAGGCAATCACTGCCTTAAGTCTGGAACCCATGGACATCACCAAACGCTGGGTTTCCTCCTTCTTAATGCTTTCCCAGGCCTTTACAGCCGCAGCCTTCAGGTCTTGCTTGTTAGTGGGTCTTTCCGTCTGAAGTCTGGATTTGAGCAAGTGAAATGCATGCTCAATTGGGTTAAGATCTGGTGATTGACTTGGCCATTGCAGAATATTCCACCTTTTTGCTCTCATGAACTCCTGGGTAGCTTTGGCTGTATGCTTGGGGTCATTATCCATCTGTACTGTGAAGCGCCGTCCCATCAACTTTGCAGCATTTGGCTGAATCTGGGCTGACAGTATATCCCGGTACACTTCAGAATTCATCCGGCTACTCTTGTCTGCTGTTATGTCATCAATAAACACAAGTCACCCAGTGCCATTGAAAGCCATGCATGCCCATGCCATCACGTTGCCTCCTCCATGTTTTACAGAGGATGTGGTGTGCCTTGGATCATGTGCCGTTCCCTTTCTTCTCCAAACTTTTTTCTTCCCATCATTCTGGTACAGGTTGATCTTTGTCTCATCTGTCCATAGAATACTTTTCCAGAACTGGGCTGGCTTCTTGAGGTGTTTTTGGCAAATTTAACTCTGGCCTGTCTACTTTTGGAATTGATGAATGGTTTGCATCTACATGTGAACCCTTTGTATTGCTTTCATGGAGTCTTCTCTTTACTGTTGACTTAGAGACAGATACACCTACTTCCCTGAGAGTGTTCTGGACCTCAGTTGATGTTGTGAACTGGTTCTTCTTCACCAAAGGAAGTATGCGGCGATCATCCACCACCGTTGTCTTCCGTGGACGCCCAGGCCTTTTTGAGTTTCCAAGCTCACCAGTCAATTCCTTTTTCCTCAGAATGTACCCGACTGTTGATTTTGCTACTCCAAGCATGTCTCCTATCTCTCTGATGGATTTTTTCTTTTTTTCAGTCTCAGGATGTTCTGCTTCACCTCAATTGAGAGCTCCTTTGACCGCATGTTGTCTGGTCACAGCAACAGCTTCCAAATGCAAAACCACACACCTGGAAACAACCCCAGACCTTTTAACTACTTACTTGATTACAGGTTAACGAGGGAAAGGCCTTTTGAGTTAATTGCAGCCTTTAGAGTCCATTGTCCAATTACTTTTGGTCCCTTGAAAAAGAGGAGGCTCTGCATTACAGAGCCTCCTGTATGATTCCTAAATCCTTTCTCCGATTTGGTGTGGAAACTCTCATATTGCAGCTGGGAGTGTGCACTTTCAGCCCATATTATATATAAATTGTATTTCTGAACATATTTTTGTCAACAGCTAAAATAACAAAACCTGTGTCACTGTCCAAATATTTCTGGCCCTAACTGTACCTCTTTGGTTAGAGCAGTGGTGATTTTAATGGTGATGTGCTACAGGAATTGCTTTTTACAAAGCCTTCTGAAAATATACTTGAAAGGATCTGATAACAGAAAACTTCTGCAAGTAGGTGCTTACTGAGCCACGCAGCTGAAAAAATGAAAAATCATATTTTCAAGTGAATTTTCTTTTTTTCCCCTCTCTCCTGTAGTGTTGGGCAGTGATTCAGTCATTTCAAAAACATGGATAGATTATTCAGGTTATTAGTTTGTATTCATTTAAAATAATCTTTTGGGGGAAAATGTGGGTTTTGGATTGTTTGATATGGTTTAATCACTGTAATTTTTGTAATTGAAATAAAAATGCTCTTCAAAGTACATTTTTAGCAAAGACAGTGTCAACTGCTGTGCCACATGGTATATAAATAACATCCTTTGAACCAACAGAATTACTCTGAAAGTGGTATGTTTCACATCTATCATTTCATCAGGTTTGTTGGTTTTTTTGCAGTTTCCTTAAATTTTAATATTCCATAGAAGAAAATATATCCATCCTCTTTTGGAGAAAGTTTTATTTTAAAACACCAAAATAGAAATAACATTGAGCTTCTTTAAAAGTGACAGATCTCCTCCATTAGATATTTATCATAATTTATAAGTTGTCTTTTTCTTTCCAAAGTTCATGTAATAGGCTACTTTCAATTGTAAAGAAAAAAATGTTGTTGTTTTTTTCAAGCCCCCACTTAAAATTTGTGGGGTATTGAGGAGAGGAAAATAAAATAATTTTACTTTTTTATGTAATATTCTTAAAAACAGACATGTACTTGAATGTAGTAGGGTTTTATTTATGCAAAACCTTTCACAGTCCCCCCAAAATGACTTGAATCTTTTGCAAGGACATTTGACTAATTAACTTTAATATTAATTCAGAAAAATATAGTTACATTGAAGATAAGTGTTGGAAGACATTGTGTTTGGATTATCTTCTATCCCCAAAGCATCTTTGAAGTGTTGCTAATTGGCGCCACCTGTGTTGGAAGCGTGTAAACGCAGCCTGGAAAGTTCAGTCAAACATGGCTGCTCTAAAGAAAACGCTAATCGCTGCTGCTGTTGCCGCTGTGGCGGCTTTTTGCGGCCACGCATTTCTCAAAATACAGTAAGTAATTGAAACTTTTGTCGACCGATGATGAAATGCAGATACAGGGCTGGCAATATGTATATTTTTAAATGCCGATAGTTGTTGCCGGAACAGTGTAGCGCGTACAGCGTTAATATTATTTAAAATCACATTAAAAATAGAGGTCCATCTAAGCTTAAAACGTAACATTTCAAGCTGATTTTGTTGATTCTAGTTGTTTTTCTGCAGGAGGCTGAGTCTTGCCTCCAGAGAAATGCCTGTCAAGCACCTCAAGTGTCGTTATTTACCCAATATAGGTATGCATTCTTCACTTAGACGTGTCTTTGATTTTTGGGTACACAAATATCTCTCTTCTTTTTTATTATCATTATTTATTTTTTGCACCAATTTAATTCGAATTGTAATATAAGAGCAACAAGAAAGTCTGAAGTCCAAGCATTTGAAAGTAGGTCAAATGTCAAGACAACAGAAAAGTAATAAGTTTCACCTTAAACCCTTTTTTTCAGAGTATGGAGCAGAGGATATCACTATCCTTAAAGATGGACTGGCCTTTTTGAGCACAGTATGTCTTTTAATCACTGAACATTTAGTAGTTGATCTGGTTTGATTTTTTTAATCTGTAATTTGAATCATGTTTATTGCTCAAGTGTGTAATATAATGAGAATGCTCTCTGGTGGGGCACGCCTTTCATGTAACACAATAGATTTGGAGAATAATCCAAAGTTACCAAAAGAAAAAGGAGCGTTGAAGTAACTTCCTGTAAAAATAGCTCATCGACTGTCAAGAAAAATCTCCAACAGTCACTGTTATCCGTGTAGGGGCTGCATGATTACCTTGGATTGCCGTCGTTCTCCAGTGAACCAGGAAAAATGTACGTTCTGGATCTGTTGCACCCGAAACCGACCCCGGTGGAACTGCAAATCAAAGGAGAACTGGACCTCAGCTCTTTCAACCCGCATGGGATTAGTGTATACACGGACGAAGCAGGTAGAACACATTCCAGCTTCGAAATTTAACATGGAATCATTTTCTCATTTGTTTCTGGAGTCAACCGATGCATGAACAGCACTGGTGGTTGCTTTCAATGATTGTAGCAACTAATAAAGTAATGATGGCTGTAAACAAAATCCCCTGCTAATAATGGAATATATTTGGTTATGTTAAATGTAACCAATGTAGCAACATAAACGTTTTAGAAAATAAAATGGAGTTTTTTCAGTCTATAATATAATGACATTTTGGCAATGCTCTCTTCATGCGACAACAGATGAAGTAGGAAGGGTCAAAACAGCAAAGACTTGTTACAAAATTGATTCCGACCTGGTGAAGGAGAGAGTAGATTCTGAGCTCAAAATTAAGCAAACAAATTCAACTATATTCACACACTCTGATATTTGGATTATATCTCTTTGCCCTGTTCTACCTCTGACAAATTTCTTGCTGTACAGACCACCTTACATGACATCTGACTGGAACCGTGTTCAAGTAGAAAATAAACTTCTAATAGACTGTCAAAGAGCAAAACATACTACCAAAAACAAAAATCACACTGAATCTAATGACAGAAAACTATTTCTTTTACAGATGACTCTATATATCTGTTTGTTGTCAATCATCCTCAGCAAAAAAGCCAGGTAGAGATTTTTCGCTTTGTTGGGGAGGACACACTTGTGCACTTAAAGACTGTTGCACATCCTTTACTGATTAGGTACTTATAAATCCCCCCTGGTTCACCTCTAGCAATATGCTTCACATACTTCAATATTCATATTAAGACTTTTTGTATTTGTTTCAGTGTGAACGACATTGTCGCCGTTGGACCAGAGCATTTCTATGCAACAAATGATCGTTATTTTAGTTCTACACTTCATGTGCTAACTGTCATCCTGAGTATGCCCTGGTGTAACGTTGTGTACTACAGTCCTGAGGAAGTGAGGGAGGCAGCTGGTGGCATTCAGTCAGGAAATGGGATAAATATATCTCCGGACAAACGGTTATTTTCATCTCATTTTATTGTTAACAATAACAATTTGCACAATTAATCTTGCAATTTAGAGGTGTACCTCAATATACTACATTGTAAAAAACTAAATTTATCATAGTCATTACATATAGATGGTGAAGCTTTAATAGCATATGCTTCTATTACATATATTGTAAGATGCTAATCATATATTTAGCATTTATCTCTGGTAAATTGTGATCATGGCTTACATCAAGGGAAAATCCAAAATTCAGTGATAGAGAAAATTCACTTATTACACATAATTGTTCTGAAAAGTGTGTACATGTACTGTACAGTATATTCACTCAGTACCTGCTCAGGTCTCCCTTTAGCATCTTCATGACGGTTTTCAGCTGAAGGAATGCTCTAAAATATCCCAGTAGATGGAAGTTCTTACTTTAATAAAAACAATGTAAATAATGGGATGGAAGTATTAGACAAATACCTTTTTTTTTCTCTTTCTAACAGGTATATTTATGTTTCTGATATCCTGGACCACGAGGTGGATGTTTTTGAGCGATTAGACGGAGAACAGTTGGTCTTCATTAAGGTGTGTGTTTTTGTGTTCCTTAATCTTGGAAGTGACAAAGATGGTTCTGCCTTTTGATACATTGTCAGTATTTCAAACTGGTCCTGATCGTTGTACTTTCCGTTCGCTCCGAAGAGCTTAATGCTGTGCATGAATTTCTTCAGAAAAAGCTGTGCTTTACTATGACATTATTTCATGCGCTGCTGTTTTATATTTTGTTACTTTTCTTTATCTTTGCTTTTCCATCTGAAAGGTTTCACATGCTGCGATCTGACAGGGCATAGTGATCACGTCTCTTGTACTGTGTTTTTTTTTTTTAACAGTCTGTTCCAGTTGGAACACTTTGTGATAATATTGAGGTGGACCACATGACAGGTGACGTCTGGCTGGGCTGTCATCCAGATGCCACTAAATTGTCCAATTTTGATCCTAAAGATCCTCCTGGCTCAGAGGTCTATGCTTTTTCACTGTTTATTTTCTTCTTCTACAATTCATACGTCATAAAATAACTGACAGCAACCTTTCCTGCAGATCATCAAGATCAAGAACATTGTCTCAGATCAGCCGATGGTAACCCTGGAGTATGGAGACGATGGTCACGAGCTGATGGGCTCCACCGTTGCTGCACCCTACGAGGGAAAGCTGCTCATCGGGACAATCTTTCACAAAGCCCTGCTCTGTGCTTTGAAATAAACTGCCACTATTTATCCCAAAACACAATTTTCTTATCTCTCTCGAACAATAAAACTATTTTGGTTTGTCATCGAAGACTATGAGAAAACAGAATAGCATTATCGCAACTTTTTTTTCCTGGTATTTACACTTGGACCTGCTACACATCTAAAAAGATGTTATTACTGCAAATATCCTACGTTCATTGCAGCAGTCAAAAACAGGAATTGAGACTTAAAATTGGCAGATATCAGTAATAAATACAGTTCTGCTATTTTGTTCACACACACTCAACATGGAAACTTTCTATAACTCAATGTCGGTGAATTTTTAAAAGCAGGAATAGGAAGCATTGTTTCAATCGTGGATTTTCCGTTTAGTCCCTACAGGGTAGCAGCTGTTATATAAACATCAGGGTTTTTACGCAATCTGGAAATGTATACGTTTAATCTATCGATCAATAAAACTTTACGTATCACTTTTCAACAACGCTTTACAATTTTATCATCTATTGTTTTTATATCTACCAAAATCAACAAAGAAAGCACATTTACTGAAGAGGCTCTTATCAGGGTCAGGTTATTATGGCTGTTATTTTAAGCAATATATTTTAAATTGCACTTTGTCAATTTGATAGTTGCCATTTATTAGCCATCATGGCTCTTCTAAACTCTTACCCTTTTCATTTTAAATATATGACAAAATATTTGTCATAATTGTTGTTTTTAGTAAATTTGTTAATTTTTTGTGTTAAATAAAAATCAAAAGTTTAATTAAAATATTACTCATTGTACCTGCTTTCACAACAAAACAACTATATAAAATTTGGCCACATAAGTCCATCATAAGTTCAAGTTTATTTTTAAAAATGGGACAATCCATATTAATGAACATTTACAATACATGAGATTATAGTCGCTAACTAACTTCCATCTCTGGTCTCGTTGACAAGGTGATGTTACAGCACGTAATAAATACAGGAATAAAAAGAAAATGTATTAAACAATCTTAAAATCCATGTGTAATATAATCAACGTTGGCATTGATTATGTGAGGCAGTTTTTAAGACGGTTTCTAAACACTGAATGCAAAAAAGATTTCTAAACATATAAAATGTTCTGAGTTGCCAAGTTTAAGCTAAAATAGGAGGCTACAGACGAAAAACAACTAACCTTTTGGGAGACACAAGAGCCGGCTCTGAAAAGAGCCAAACTTCCCATCATTATTTGTGAGCGCACCATCAAATACAACTGAAAATACTGTTTTCTGTTTTGCCAGGGAGCAAGCATGTATCATCCTTTTTCATCTATAGAAATACTATTTTCTGCCACCTTAGAAATTGTAAATCGAGTCTCCCCACCATCAGGATGCTGCACTTTCTCTTCTTCTGCAGCATCTTTGTCTGGCACTGTGAAGGTGATCCCATCATTTACTGATTCAGAGGAGCCATAATTTCTATTTTCCTCACGGTCTGTTATTTCACACGCTTCTGACGTGGGTTCCTTGATGTTTTCCTCTTCTTCCTGTTTACTTTCGTCCACCATTGCATTTGCAAACACCTCACTTAAACTGATGTGTCTCTTGTGCCGTGGTGAGTGCTCCAAGGTCTGGATGTGATTGGCCAAAATGTCACTGCAGCTCTTGGAGCGGTTTATGTTCTGTATTGGTGCTGGTTTCCTTTTCCTTGCATTAATTCCGATCTCTTTGATGACTGTGCTGTAGTCTTCGTCCTTCTCGGAAAGGAAGTTGAAGATGTCGACGACAGTCGGCCTCACGTCTGGTTTTTGCTTCTGTTGTTGCTCTTCTGGCTCCATGTACAAGGGTCTGTTCCTGTGCCTATGCTGTCGTTTCTTCCTCAGCACTTTGTGAGCTTCCACAACCATGTGGACATTCCAGCTAAAGAACAAAGACAGCCAGGCCAATCCCATATACATCCATAACTCTGCCATTATCCTGTAGAGTTTTGGGTATTCAATATCAGGATTTACACCTGCAATGAGTGAAATAATTCTCAGGTGTGTGAAGTTCATTTCAAATGTTATACCACCACCCTTACCGAGTGAAAAGTCTCACCTGCCACATAATCTCCAAAGCCAACTGTTGTAAGTGTGATGAAGGAGAAGTAAATCCCTTCTAGATAACTCCATCCTTCCACAGACATAAAAACAAGCGGAGGGATCACCAAGTGCACCAGCAAACCCCATAGGAGGAATATGGCAGTGCATGTGAGCTGGACCTTTTTCTGTCAAAAGCAAGAGAAGAAATTTATGTATAATAAAGCATAGTGTTCAAATTTCATTAGAAATTAAATTTTGGAAGGTGTGTGCATTTCTGGTAACACAAATTAAAATCCTGTGAACTTGCCTTCAGAAGTCAACAAGTAGAGTCCCAATTAAGTGGGTGCAATGATAATACATTATATTAACTGTTCTATGAAGGCTTCCTAGATTTGTTAGAGAATATCAAAGAAATATGGAGGAACACAGCAGACAGATCGGAGAAGGTTCTGGAGTTTAAAGCAATGTCACAAAACTTCATTCTAAACTTGAAACATCGCATATAGGACTATTCAATTCATCATATGAAAATGGAAAGAAAATGGTGTAAACCATAATTCGACCCAGAGATGGTCTTCCACCTGAACTGACTATTTGGGCAAGTAGAGGAATAATAACAGAAGTCAAGAGGTCCATAAATTAGGAGGAGCAACAGAAACAGTTCAGGTAAAGATGACAGTGAAGCGCCACGGCAAAGCCATGAACACAGAAAAAATAGTGATTTTAATTTTTTTTATTTTGCTAAATATACTAGTTAAAGTGCTTTGAATAACTTTCATTGGCTTAAAATGGTAAACTCCAAACTAACAGATGAGTCCAAAACACAACTTTTAGGCCTAACTGAACATGTATTGCAGATAGACATGAACACACCACCCCCAAAGTAAAACATGGGCATGGCTGCCTCATGTTGTGTGTATGCTTTTCTTCAGCAAGGGGAAAAAATTTGGATGAAGTTAATAGAAAAATGAATGGAGCAAAATATGGGCAGTCTTGGGAAACGAAGCACAGAGCGCCGTTTGAGGCTGTAAAAGACTTGAGAATGGGACTGACATTTATTTGCCTACCAGAGGAATGACTGAGATCAAAGTGTCTTTAAGCAGGAGAATGGTTAAAAGTCCAGATTTAAATCCAATTCAAAATCTCACCACTGAAACACCCTTTTCTATCAGAATCCCAGACAGTCGTTTCGCCCGGTCTCCAAAGAAAGATCCCAGTGTGCTTATCCACACCAGGCAGAGAGGGATCCCACACAGGCCATACAGGATGCAAAACACGCGGCCAGCTTTGGTCTTGGGAGCAACATTACCATAACCTTCAGATGAAAGAAAAATGGAAATTGACCAGAGGCAAGACAGTTGTAAAGTTGGCAAATCATCAATGAAACTTCTGATAAGTAGGTAGACTCTGGGTCAGGAATAGTGTCCTATTAGTTAAAATGTCCAAATTGAGTTGTCCAAAAGGTAAATGATTAAGCTGACATTAATAGGTAAAATGTGCTTAAAACAAATCCTGTACTTTGTATAACACTATTAGCAATGAAGGACATGGATTCATTATGAAGAATAACAGTCAAGCTACAGATTTGCAGAAGGGTGTAATACCTATAGTCGTGACGATGGTGGCAGCAAAGATAACAGAATTGCCCCAGTCCCATGTGTTGCGGTGATTGTCCCCCGTAATAGCCACACCTTGGCCGGCGGCCTCAGACGCAATCTGAAGGGAAAAAACACATGAATGCAATCTCCAGAAAACAAATATACATTTATTAAACATAGCTCCTGCTAGTTTCTCTCCCATACAAACGGCCTGATTTTTGTTGTTTTTTGTTTTTCTTGGAACGCGTTACGTTTCAGTATTTCCCCCACAGGTGAACACACCTTGTGGAAACTTTCAGACGTGTAGCGGCGTGTGGCCATGGTTGCTCTTCCAGCCAGTCTTTCAGTGTTACTAACTTGTATAATTAGGGAATGATAAAAGGGAACTTTTCCCTGTAATCAAGTTAAGTTATTATTTTTAGAGCAATAATAAGTACATAAATCCCGATTCAAATGTAACTCGGTGTACTGTAAAGCAGAGAAATTGTAGTTTTTATTTAACTGTAATACACCACATTTCTGGTAACATTTACATGCGTTCGTGGTCACAAAGAACTTTCCCCCTGTACTTTTTATTTTAAAAAAGAGAGCGCTCCAAACCTTCAGTATCTCATCTAGGGTTTCCTTTGTGACGTTGTTGCTCCTCAAGATGTTTTCCTTCTGCTCAATATATTTGTCTCTGGCCGCTTTCCAGTTTGGCTCCTCGAAAATCTGGAAAATCGCGGCACCGATCGAGAGGTAGAAAATGATGCAAGAAGTTAAAAAAGGACCTTTATCGGCCATGTTAAAGCCATAACTTCACACTCTTCCCTCCAGAGCGAGCAGCGGCGCATTCCAGCACAGGACTGTTGTTCAGTGGGTTGGCTTTTCTTCCTGCTTTTACCATCAGGGGTTGGCAAAGCAGCAGGGCATACAACACTTTTACCAACATCTTCTAGAGTTGTGAAAAAGCCTTCGCTTCTTTGCAGATTATTTTTTCTCTTTAGCTTTCAATATTTTTTTTTTCTATTTGTCACATTTAGTGTTTTAGAATCATCAGATGAATTGTATTAGTCAAACAAAGTAAAGCCGTCTAAATACAAACTGATGCCGTTTTTAACTGATTTTATTTTATGGGGGAAAGTTATTCAAAATAGTCTGAGCCTATGCAAAACGGCATTTGTCCCCTTCAGCCTGACAGATGCCATCAACCATTTGTGTTTCCATCACTGCTTTCCTTTGCATGATATTTTTGTCAGTCGACATTGGAGAGGATGAAACCTGCTCAAGGCAGTACCTCAGTCCACTTTCAGGCTTCGTCTGGGTCACTCCAAAAGTTTAATTTATTTATTTATTTTTGTTTTTTTTGTTTTATCATTTAGACATGATGTGCTGCATAATGTGCTGCACTTTAGTGCGATATTGTGAATTGAAAGCTGGACATCCTCCATCAGGATTTTCTGGTAGACAGAAAATTTAACAGTTTCATCTTTTACAGGAAGATCTTTTATGCTACTTTATGTTGTCAGACAGGTGCTTTTCTGACAACATGATTGTTTCTGTAGCTTAGTTAGTAACAGAATCGGTTACTTTGTGAATTGCTATTCCGTCTTCCTGCAACAGGATGCTGTGGATCCCATAATAAATGAAGCCATTACTGAAAAACTGAATTTTCTATTTACGCAGCTTGTCTTTTCTTATTTAAAGTTTACTTGATAGTTGGAAACTTGTTAAAGCTCAATCATTTTCCATGGTGAAATTTTGATAGAAGTAACATTTTAAAACTATACATGTATGGCTACCTAACATCTAAATATTTCTCAAATAAAATATTCATAGAAATGTATTCTTGATTTCATTTTTTTAAAAGTAAATATAAAGACCATAGAATCCCAAGGACAAAAACTGGGGGTAATACTGAATATTGAAAAGCTGAATAACAATTATGCAGCAGGAAATTAGTTTCTGAGAGCAATGTGACTCTTAAAAGAGAAACATAATATTTACAAAGGCAAAGGCAAATGCAGCTGCTAGCAATCTTGAAATACCTGTTCTGACATTTTGATAAATGGCAGAGCCTCTGTGCTGACTTGCTGGACAAGTTTTGATTTGTTTCAGCCTGCATCATATGACGCGTTCTACGCAGCTCTACTGGAAGTGTGGAAACCATTACTGAAAGGAAGTCAGAAAAGGGTTAAAGCTGCAAACCTGTGAAGGATTTTATGAGGATGCAAAAAAAAAAAAAACAAGGGTGGAGCTCCACTCTGCTTATTTACCCAACACTTTTCAAACTCAAAGTGCTACAAGAAACACTGCTAATGTAAAACAAATAGGGGCAACTGTAAAGCAAATCTAAGCTGGGATACAAGCGTCACATGTGTTACCTTCACCATAAAACAACTCATGTGAAAGAAAGGTTTTAAGCTTTGTTTTAGAAGAGGGGGTGTGACAGGAAGCTGATTCCAGAGAAGAGGGAGCCTTTAAAATTAAAAGCTCTCGTTTTAGAAATTCTGGGAACAACCAGCTAACCCGTATGCTGAGAAGGAGAGTTCTCGTGGGACGATAAATGACAGAGACAGGATGTGGTTTAGCCATTAAGAACACAACAATGGAGTCAATTGTTTGAACCTCAGTTAAATTCCTATGTAAGCTCATTCAAAAAGTCACGCTATTTTCTTTGATTTGTTGGAAAGCAGCTGATTTTCAGTCAGCAATATAGAGAACACCAAGCCTTACAAAACTATTTATAGGCCTGGAAAGTTTTAACATTCGGACGCAATCAAGATGGAAAAATGTTGCAAACTCTGTCTTCCAGCTTTACATCTAAACGCCACTGTGAAAGATGTGGCCTCTCTGGAATCTTTAAAAGTTGCCAAGATCCCTGAGGAAGGACTTAACCACAGACACAGAAAAAACATAGGAAAGTAATGACTTCTACCAAATTACAGTCTTAAACTTGCAACAGTAAATTTCCCTCAAAGAGCCTTTTTTATCTGTTATCGGTAAAACCAAACAGTGGACCTCGTTTGCTCAGTTTAACACTGCTCCGATTTCACAGGCAAATCATAATCAGCAAAAAAGAAATGGAGCAGAACTGCATGAGACACAAAAAGCTGTTTTCCAATAATAAAAAATTCAAATCAACAATTAAGTGTTTTTTGTGTGCACATGGTCATTACTTTGTGTGTAAATATAAACCCAAAGGGAGGAATGTGTGTATCATTTTATTGTACAGAAAAGGATTCAGTGTCAGAAGCTGTCAAATTTTTTCTATACAACGAACACTTTACCTATGATTTTTATTATAACTATAAAGAAGGTATGTACATTTATAAAATTCAAATGTATTCACCAGTCAAAAATACTAAATAACATGGGGTTCTATTTCTAAACTATTGAGTGAAAACAATGTAATAATGCAGACATTCACTGCACAATCTTAATCTACAGGATAAAAAGTTTAAGTTTGTCACATAAAAAGTGCATATTCAATATTATCTAGGCTTTTTAAAGACATAACTAGCATTAAGTATTTTCTTGGTGTTTCTTCAGAGTTTAAAGAAATGATTTTACAGTCTGCTTTGGAGTTATACTTAACTTTAATTTAAAGGTGAGCATTTGGGAAAGGAAATAAAATTATAGGAAGACACAATGTTTTAAAAATTGCTTGTCAGTTCTGGTCCAGTCAGACTTCTTTTTGTATCTTCGCGACTCTGTCAGAAAAAAACGAAACTGCACCAGCAACCAGCAGGGACAGTTTTCATATCTTTGTGCGCAACCATTCAGAAGTCAGAAGCATGCAGAGTTAATCACACTGGGTGGATCCTGGCTGCTGTTTGTGATAATAGAGGGAGGCGTTGTCTGCAGTATAAACATACAGTCAGTCTACTGTACTGACAAAGTAAATGCATGTTTATTGCTGCTGAAGAGCTTAAGCTATCTCAGATTTATTGAAAAGCAAGATAAAATTGATTGCCTTCTACATGATCTTTTGGCTCAAGATAAGAACATTATTTTTTTCCCACTCTGCCGTGGGCCCTCCATCAGTATAAGTGTGGAAAAATAAATCGTCATGGTAAGTCTAGGATCAGATGTGCTTGACTGACCTCCTGGGACAGAGTCACTGGGTTTTATGCTACAATGAGACAGATGTTCCAGGTGCATCAGCTGCTGGACTGAGGTTTGCTTCTCCCCCTTGGGATTTCACACAATAACATTTAAATATATATATATATATATATATATATATATATATATATATATATATATATAATATATATATATATATTATAATATATTTATATATTAATATAATATAATATAATATATATATATATTAATCTATAAAGTATATTTATAGATGAGTGACATTTGACAGGATGTTCAATTAATCTACAAAAAACAGAGCAAACGTTCAAGATAAATATTAGCTGTTGGTATTAGATAATCAAAACAAAACCATCATTTTAGACTAAAACAAGATACTGTGAAAGGTTTCTTCCTTTTAATGCACAGTTCTTCCTCTATTGTCACCTTTTGTTATTTGAGTGGTTGGAAAGGGGGAAGAAGCACGATTTCATGCAATCTGATATTTATGTCACAACATTGAGCTGGAATATATTCTCCCTATATGAATATATCAATACATATTAATGCATTGAACTGGGTTAGTTTTAAAATATGTGCATATTATACTCTAAAGTGAATTAAAATTGGTTAAACTGATGTTGTGCGTTTTCTTGTTGCAATGTCTTAGCACAACCTTAATAGCAAATAAATTAAATATTTATAAGTGAAATAAAAAATCTCTTGGCTCACACAAAGCCATGTCAAAGATTAGTGTTGAGTCATTATCCCCGGTAGGCTCAATTCCCACGTTAAAGGAAGCACCCATACACATCATAGATACCTTTCTAATGATGGATGTCTTCACTGTGTCAGAGATCTCTTTTTGCAAACACAAGCGAGTTTGCCAACTTCTAAACTTGGCCCGTCTCAGCTGTTCTTTGGATACCGGGCCAGTCCAAGCTACAGGAGTACACTGTAAAAAAGGAACCTCAGGGGTTATCACATTAACAAAAGAATATCATGTACTGTTAACTAAATAATTCCATGTTTGAGCCAAAAACATGATACAATCATGTTGCATAAACAAGATATTCCACAACTTCAACTTTTATAAAATTGAATCATGTTGAGCTAACATGATTCATTATAGTCAGACCGATCCTATGCTGAAGACCACGAGTGAGATCACGGGATATCATGCAAGTTCACGCAATATTACGGGAAATCACGGGATATCACGCGAGAATACACGAGACAATTGGTTTTCTCTCGCAAATGGAATAAAATGTATTCAAGGTGAGATAACGTGATTCAATTACGTCAGCTAGATCTTCCGCCAAAAAAAAAAAGAACGTCGGGGCATATTACATGAACAAAAGAATATCATGTACCTTTCACACAATAATGTTGGGTTTGAAGCGAAAACGTGATAAAATCATGTTGGATAAACAAGATATTCCACGACTTCACATTTATAAAATTGAATCATGTTGAGCTAACATGATTCATTATAGTCAGACTGATATTGTGCTGACGACAACGAGTGAGATCACGGGATATCACGCGAGAACACGCGAGACAATCGATTTTTCTCTCAACTGGACTAACGTGATTGAATGACGTTATCTCAACTTGAATAAATCTAATTAACATTTATATACCCACCGCGGGTGGTTCTTATCCTCTGAGCTCGGGTCCTCTACCAGAGGCCTGGGAGCTTGAGGGTCCTGCGCAGTATCTATATCTATATCTATATCTATATATATATATATTATATATATATATATATATATATATATATTATATATATATATATATATTATATATATATATATATATATATATATATATAAAAAAAAATTTTTATTCAATATCAATATTTGTCAAAGTTAATCTAATTAAAAAAAACACAGTGACGTCAGTTCCAAAGCGCTATTGTGTCAAACTCATCTCTCGCTGAAGAGGATCCAGCGACATCAAGAGATTACGGAAAATCACGCGAGATAACTGGCTCGCACCTTGTTGGGTTTTTTCAAGGGCAGAGGGGAGATTCCTGGCGTGCATCAACTTAATTTGAAGAAGGTAAGAGTCAAACTATTTTCATCCAAATCCATATAAAAATATGTAACTTAAAATTTCTCTACCATTTGCACCATTTTCTAATTGTTCCATACTTGTGTCACATTATTTCATGTTTTGTAGATTAAGTCGGTTAGGTTAAGGCAGATAGCTTTTTGTTTACATTTATCGCCGCACCATGTTAGGTACATTCTGTGCGAAAAAAGTCTGCAGAGCCATATGTAGTGTACAAAGCTGCTGCCAGAGACACAAATGGACCCCAGAAATGTCACAGTTTTGCTCCTCCTGAGCTCCCTGGAGGTTTAGTGGATTTTTAACACACGGATCTGGCATCAGTCTATTTCTAACTATTTTAATTCTATTTCAGTAATGTTACTATGGAGGTAAATGTAGATACACACTTTGGTACCTTTCTATCATCATCGAGATTCTTAATTAATTATGGTAATAAAAAGTCCTACATTTCAGTCGGTGAAACCTGCAGAAAGCATTGCTTTCTGAGCTTTGTTAAATGTTCCTAAAATACCTGTTAGTTATGGATTTCTAGTATATTTTGTCAGGCTAAAACTCTCAATGGATTATCCATTATTACAGACTTGAGCTTTCTATTTTTTTTCTTTAAAATACATATTCCTCTGCTGTAAAGATGTTGGGATTCATTGGTTTATTCTTTGTTGTCCCCAAATAATTGTAGCTCAGAAACAATATTGAAGTTCATTGGTTTAATTTTGAAATGTTGATGTTTTTTTGTGTTGATTGTTTGTGCTCATTTTGACCTTTGTTACTATTGCTTTCTACCATGTTCAATTCACCGCTGTTCTGCACATACGTGCTTGCATGTGTCCAGTGGTTATATTCATGAGGCATTCAAGGGACTTGTACTAAAAGATACAACTCAGTTCAGTATGAATTGCATATTTTAATGGCTGAAAATATATCTGATCTCTTTCAGAACATCACCTGATCACCTGTCTGTAATCCACCTGCTTAAGTTCTGGTCAAGGGGCTCATCGGCTATCAAGTTATAGATTTCAGTGGCTAATAGTAAGTTTTGCCAGATCTAAAGTGACTGAATGTAGTGTTAGAGAGCTTATAAAGCTAGGGTTCAGCTAAACATTTATTTGGCCAGTCTGTTTTATTTGTCTTTATTTGCGTGGGGATGTGGAAATGTAAGGAGTGTAGTCTCTCTCTGTCTCGTAGATATGACCTGTTAAAACATTTTACACTTAAACACCGGCATATGCGACGTTATCCATGCCCACACATAGACTGTCTATGTACTTGTAAGACATGGAATGCTTTGCATATTCATTTAAGTAGAAGGATATAGACTGTGTTGACCATTCTGTACTTTTCACATATTTCTTTGGTGATATATTCATGTCTTTATTTAAACCTCTAACAGCTTCAGTTAGATGTTTAAATAAGATGTTAAACTCCATTTTAGTCATGGCATAATGAAGGGATACTAACAATTTTAAATATCTTTCAAACAGACTGCAAGCCACTGATCACTTTTGTTGTGACTTCCTTTGAATGCAGCTATGCTTTCAAGTGTGTGAACCTATACTGCTGGAGTTTTGAGATTGTTCTCATTGTTTTTTGATCTGCATATTTAGGATGACACTGCTGAGGGCAGATGAGAGTGCATCCTCAAAGGTCTGTGTGTACCTAAATGAAGATCCAGAGAAGCTGGTGAGGGAGTACATGGTATGTTAAATTCTCTTTGTGTTTACAATAGAACTCCTAAGAGTTGTTAAAATACTTTCACCAACTAAGGTCCATGAGTGACTCAATCAATGTCAGTCTAATTTATTTATTTAATTACATGTGAATTGTCTCCCCCCCAATACCCTTCCCTAACTCCCTTAGGACGTCGATGAATGTGCAGAAATGGCCAAAGCCGAGACTGTCCTCGGATTCGTCATTTGAGCAGAGGGTGCAGAGGCTGCCGATGCACATCTGGATGTTGGGATTGTCTTGGAGGAGGTGGAAGTTATGAACAGCTTGGGCAGTGTATCTTCTGCAATAGTGATGCTGCTGGGACTAATCTACGCACTAAACTTGAGCTACCCTCAAGTTTACATTTATCGCCGCACCATGTTAGGTACATTCTGTGCGAAAAAAGTCTGCAGAGCCATATGTAGTGTACAAAGCTAAACTTGAGCTACCCTCAAGTTTAGTGCGTTCAGCACTCAACTTGCTCAGTAACTCAAGCATACCTTTGAAGTAATACAGAAAATAATAATGAAATTGGATGGAAAGAACTTATCAAAGAAAGCACAAGTTCTCAATATGAAACTCGCCGCTAAGTTGAGTTAAGTTTCATATGGAAAATCAGTGTTTAAAGACTGCAGTAGAAAAGATTTATATTGTTACAGTTCTCTAAGTTGAGCAACTATACTGACATGTTTTATGTTGTAAAGAATTGGCTGGGAAATGAAACTGTAACCTTTTTGTAGTTGTTTTTTTATTTCAATGTCCAACTCAGCTGTGTTTTGTGCTGTGTAAAAAAACGATGTATAACAATTCTGCAAATACAATTGTGTTGTACCTTTTCTAATTGTTGAGTGTTCTTCCTACACTTTCACCTAGTGCTATCTTAAAATGCTTGATTAACGCTTGAAAAAATGTCTTTGAACTAACATCATGAAATAATGGAAAGGATTTCCACATGATTAACTAGCTGTCTTTTAGCATGAAGCATATTTGTTGAGCTAACTTACTTTTAGTGAGTTGGACCTACTGAATCAAGTAGTGTGAAGGTACAACTGTAAAATAAGGTGGTTTCAACTAGATTTACATTCATCTTAATGAAGTTACATCAATGATTTGGTCCTAAACATTGCAGATTAGTTGGGCTGGCTCTATTACATTACACTGGGTCACACTATAGCAACTGAGTTAAAGGAACCTTTAAAACATATGTTGAGTCAACACATTTCATTTGAATTTGAATAACCTTAATGAATGGAGTTGAGCCAACTCATTTGATTTACAATCATCCGTTGCATTACCATAATTCTGGTTAAGCCAACATATTTGGTTTAAATTAGAACAACCTTAATGAATTATGTTTTGCCAACTCATTTAATTTATATAAGAATAACCACAATATATTACGTTGAGCCAACATGTTTGATTTAGAATCACCCATTGAATCACCATTGTAACAAGTTGAGCCAACACATTTGCTTTACATTGGAATAATCTTAATAAATTAGGTTGACCTAACACATTTGCTTTAAATAAGAGTAACACAAGTACATGGTGCTGAAATAAAGCAAAGTAATCAGGTGGAAATACTTTCCATAATTTTTTTATGTTCATCCAATGACTTATTTTTTTCAGTGTAGGAGGTCCTCCTCCTGCTGGCTGGAAGGCCCCATGAGAATATAAATTGATACCAGTCAGGTAGATAAATGCACCAGCTTCACACACAATAAGAAAAATATTAATATATTAACAAAGTTATTATGTAAAACTAAATAGGCAGTTTCTGCAGTTTCTGTCTGAACTATGAACACAGTTCAATGAGCTTTTCATATCTGATAACAGTAACAGAATAATGGCTTTTGTTTGTGAAAACAACTATAAGTTTGGTCTTTTGGCTCTAAAGAGAAACAAATAAGAAATAATAATAATAATAATATTTTTCAGCTTATTATACTGTAAAACCATGCATTTATTCTTATAATTTGTTCCTACTTTTTCAAGATTAAATGAGTTTCAAAACAGTTATGAAGGGTAAAAGAAACATGGCTCATGATTTTAACTATTCAAAAAAACTGAGATATAAAAAGTGTGGCATGCATATTCCAGGTTTTTACGTTTTATGACTTAAAGTTTCATTTTAATTTTTTTCCTGGGAATGATTAAAAAAAAATGCTGTGGAAATGTAACACTGAATGCCAAGGAGTTGCGGACATGTGACTCTTCTGCTGATTTGTAGCTTTACCCCGTTAGTTTCTCAGTCCTGCGTCTTTAACCGTGCTCGTGATGCGTTTCGTTGTAGTCTTTGATCTTTAGCTGTTGCGTGTTCAACCCCTTTTACTTTGATACCACTAAATAAAATCCAGAGCAACCGGCTGTTTAGAACTCAACTAATTTATAGAGAGAGTCCTTCTTGAGTACAGTTGGTCTGTGAAGGTGTCAAATATCCTCACTACTCTGTATTAAACAGTCTGATTAAGTGTGAATAGTTTTGTAAGCATTCTGGAAAGGGCTTTAGATAACTTTGGGATAGCTATGCCAAACAAAGCTTTTATCCATCTAAATGACATAGTTCCAAATATCACGTTTTTAAAACATCTTGTGCACTCTAAAGTTGTGATACAAAAGCCACAGTGAAAGAGCTAAACAGCGCCCTCATGTGGAACTAGGAATAAAGTCCGTAAGTATATTTTTTTTATTTGCTGACACGAGTTCAAGGTGCCGGTGGTCTCCGCAGGAATAACCTGACCTTAGGTTTATTATGCACTGAAATTCACTGACATTAGTTTGCTGATTGTTGAGGCTGAATCTCGTGTCTGTTTGAATGAAGGCGCAGACTCACCCGACGTATTAAACTCAGTATTTTCACGCACAAGCATGAAGACTTTTTTTTTTAGAAGGATCACTATGGGTACTGAATAGACCACCCAGCATCCTGAGCCACTTTTTTTTTTGGGCAGAGCTTCCACCTTCTGATCTGATCTCCACCCATCCCCAGCAAGTGCTTCGTCATTGCAGCTGCGTCACCGCCTCTCTCTCGCTCTCTGTGGAAACCCGATCGATGAGTTTCTGAGTTGACCCAAAGGCGAGCAGCAGGATCATGACATGGAATAAAGGTGGGGAGAGCCCACACGGGAGCCACCTATCAACTCAGGTATGACTTGTCTTCCGGGACGCCTGTGTTGTTATTGCACACCTTGTGCGCAGCAAGCTCCCGTTTTCTGGTTTCCATATACACGGCAGTAGTTCGCTTAGAGTTCAGTCCGTGGAGCTTGCGCTATGGGATTATGTCAAACACAACCAGGTCAGGAGTATTTGTGGCGCCAGACTGTGGGGAAAAGAAATAAGCAGGGGGCTTGGATTAAAGCAATGACATAATAATGTCAAGAAATGCACGATAAAGCTGGTTGGATTCTGATATCTGGGCCCTAAATACATAGAAATCCAAACATAAAGAAGCTGCGCGCCTGGAGGAAAGAACTAAATAGTTCTTAAATCTGCTGTGAGATTTCTGTAATGACATACATTTTAAATAAATTTGTTTGTTTCCATTTAACCTGCATGTTTTGTTAACTCAAATAAATACTTGTTTCTCATGATCTGATACACTGTTTCTCTGTTTCTTTGTGGTCTTCTCACCGGGGCTGCCAACACAATGTGTGATGACCGGCTAAACATGAAATATGTGAGTACCAAATATAAATCAAGTTTTAATGAGCTCTTGTGCTATTGTTGCTTGTGTCGCAGTCTAATATTACATGATCATATACTGTTGCCTTAACTTGGGAATATAAATATCAGACAATATTTGTGTTAAACTTTCCTCAAGTGTTAAGCATTTCATTAGAATTTAAAACTCTTCTTTAAAGTCATACATACTCGGTTTTAAATTGCATTGTTATTCCTGTAGCATACCTTAATTAGAGCAGTTATCCACTATAATTAATGTCTTCTACTGAACTATGTTGTATTCTCATTATAGAAAGGAACACTATCTTCCTTTTGGGACTTTTTTTTTGTTTGTTTTGCCAACTTTCAAGATCAATTTGAGCAAGATGTCAAGCAAAAATGACCAGGAAAGCTTGGCGGTAAAATAATTGAACAGTTTCTGTCAACCAGCTGTAAGTTCAGCCGCCAGCTGAACCAACCATGGGAGGGGTGCTGTGGCAGTGTCTCCCCGAGGCCTCTGAGCGCAAACACGACTTTATCTATTGGGAACACATGCTCATAGAGTCCATTACACTTCACTGATAAAACATAGTTGACCTGATGTGGAATCCCCAATCAGTTAATTCCTGGTAAAGTACATCGTCAAGCAGCTGTTGTTTGAGAATAATAGCAGGGTTTTACAAAAGGCAAGTTAAGCCCAGAAATCCCAATATAGCTTTTATTTTTATGTATGCCACTGCACTGGGAACACATAACACACTATTCCAAAGCCAAGCAGAAGAAAATGGGTCCAATTTGTTATTCTAAAGCAAGTAAGGAAGAAGAGAAATGTTGGGCAGTTTTACTTTGCAAACTCAAACACTTACTGTACCAACTAAAAGATTCCCTGAAGGTTTAGTTTTCCTGTCAATCTCTCGACTAAGATTTATTTGGATAAAGCCCTTTTGTGAGAAATTCCTGGAGTCGAGCAGCATCACCTACAAATAGATATTCCATCTCAGGATTATTATGCATTACGAATGACATAATTTTTTTCTAAGCACAGGTTTTTGGAGACAGTAGGGTCTGCGGTTTGTGCTTGGCAGTACACAATGAGGTCTTAGTAGTTGGAATCATGATGCTCTTGAGATTTCCTCTTCAGCACAACTTCTTTGAATATTTAGATTTATTCCAAGTGACTCATGATCCTTGTTATGAGATAGGTCTCCCGATCTCATGTTTCACACTGTGGCATGAATTCAAAGAGTACAGACCTGAAAGAAAACACAAAATAAATAGTGGGTGGTAAAACCCCTATTGACGCATCAGTAATATAAAAAAAATATATGCACAATGTATTCATGCTCTGTATGCCAGTTACACTGTACATAGTATAGTGCTAATCTGTGGAGGATTGTTTAAGGATACTGAAACATTTGAGTTCTTAGCAAACTGCATTGCAATGCAGCTAAGTTGTTTCAATGCCAAAACAATGAACGGAGAGTAGAAAGACATCAACACTACATATTTTGGTTTTATTTATTGTGTATCATATCATCAATGTGGCGTTTAGCACCATTGTTGCCTATTAAATGCTGTCCTTCTGTTGCGCAGCCATATTTGACTACATTTAAAAACTAGTACAACAGAAGTACCTTTCTATTTTGTTGTTATACTGTCAAAACAGCACATTTTATTTATTCATTGCCACTGAACAAGATGTCCAATAATATTGGAAGTTCCCTTTTGAAGTTTCAGGTTTGAAAACTTGACACATTAAAGCCAACCTTTAACCAAACGTACTGCTGGTTGTGACCTTCAGTCCCAGGCCCAGGATGTATTGATTGTTTCTTCTGCAAGGCTAAAAACTGAGGGCCATGCTGTGATTCAGTGTGTGGCTCCAAAACTGTGGAACATTTTGCTTCTTTGACTTTTTTTTCTTATTCTTTAGGCACTTTGAAAAAGATGTAAACCTTTGTGTTTTATTAAGCACTTATTGCCACAATTTTATTGTCAGTTTTTGTTGATGCACTTACATTGTTTTTAATTTAATTTTATCTGTTGTACACAACTTTGGTTTATGAAATAGCATGTTTCTTTATTCACTTCTTTCATCAATTTTCATTTAGTTGTTTGAGAAGTAGACTTTTGGGTTCAGTTACATTT